ACGGCGACAACTTAAGTTCGATGTGTGAGCAGCGTGAGAGGTCGGGTGTTTTCATCTGAACCCTTAAAACCTCCAGCAGCTACGCTGCACTATGGACGTGTTAGCGCGCGCAGCGCTAACAACTTAGCGACGTGACATGTGTCGGAGAAAGCGTAAAAACATGTTGGACGCTTCTTCTGAAGCGGGAAAATAACACTTCTTCTTAAGCAGAGCACGACGCCGCCTCGGCTCGTTCACGGCCGAGCCGGACTGAGCTCGATAACATTGACCCAGCACAGCCACTGGGTCCTTGGAGCTGCCCCGTGACTGCCTGATGGAAAACCAGCGGGTTTCATCAGACTCGTAAAGTTTCTTGTTTTTGGTGGGGACCCCCTGTATTTTACTGCTCCCTCCTGCAGTCTTCCCCTATTAACATTTAAAATGATTCTGTAAACTCCGTGTATCAATAGAAAACACCTCTGCCAGCTGCAGTAAATGTAGTCTTTTTGAAGCGACTCATGCTTTGTTTTTATTAAACGCTACATAAAAAATCCTTTCTTGTCATTTGTGTGCTTCTGTGAAGTCTTTGGATGGACAAGTTCAGTTAACCAGATTCAAGACAGGAGAGAGACAAGTAGAGCCACTGGGCCAGCCTGAAAGACTGACAACCCCCAACACCCAAGCACATTCCATTGGACCTCATCTGTGGCTGGCTGCATTTACAAATGAAAGGCAGCTAACGATCAGTGATTTAGTCATTGTTATCAAACCAAGCAGTTATTTGACAAAGCTCTGGTAGAGCTGGGGGAATCAGAAAATGCTGGGAGTTCTAGTGTTAACACAGAATGTTCTGTTGTGGAGATACGATCTAAACCACTCCAGAACAGACCCTTTGATCCCAACCCATCGTTCCAAGCGATCAAGTAGAATCGCCTGGTCAACTGTGTCAAACGCTGCTGTCAGATCTAACAACAGAAGCACCACAGAAGTACCCTGATCTAGTGATAGATTGATATCATTTAAGACCCTCAGTAGAGCCGACTCAGTAATATGGCCAGACCTGAACCCTGATTGGAAAACCTCAAACAGATCAGAGTCTGCTAAATGTGAGACCAGCTGCTGATAAATGACTTTTATGGTTTGGGAGTTGAAGGCCAGGGAGAAGTAGTGGGTTTTCAGGCGTGATTTAAAACGGCAATAGAGGGTGCTTGCCTAACCTGAAGAGGCAATGAGTTCCACAATTTTGGGGCACAGACAGAAAAAGCCCTTTCCCCGCGGGTCTTCAAACGTGCCTCAGGGACAGTTAGGAGGAGCTGATCTTCAGACCTAAGAGCATGAGGAGGGTGGTAGTTAGAATAACATTTAAATCTAGTTCATTCTTTTCATCAAAAGTATTTTAATTAGATAAATAATTGTAAAGCTGTTTTAGACACAATTTTACACAAACTTTTAATTGTGTTCATCAGCATGCTCAGACACACATCTTAAAAGTGCACTTTTATTTTTCAAAGGCACTCAGAAATGAGGGCACCGTAATTTCTCATGTAGTTGTGCCCATAAAAATCGAAGGAGGGCTGGCTTGACGCTTGTTTCCGAACAGTCATGTCTGCGCTTAAACATTTTTAAAGAGAAGATCTGGATTTCTCCACAGCACAGCCAATGGTTGAAAGTACCAAAGAGGCTCTGAAAGAAATAATAGTCCATCTTGGCTCTGCTGAAAGGGAATTATTTAGCTCTCTTGATGGATACTGAGCATGCGCGAGGAAAACAGGCGCTGAAGTCGCTGAAGGAACACGCCGGAGTTATGGAAAGTGGTTAAAAACTGTCAAGATTGATGGAGTAATATTCTGGATAAAACTTTTCGAATCACTTTTAATGTGAAGGACTTCTGGCTGATTATTTGGATCTTACGGATGACGTTATGTCATTAAAAAGGTCAAGGATAAGGAACGCGAACAAGAAAACAACGCTGGAGCAAGGTGTGGCTGACGAGCAACAGGTGACAGGAGTTACAATGGCAGGCGTGGATGATCAGCAACAGGATTTACCGACGACGATTTTCATGATAATAGGAGAGCAAATAAGAGGAGTAATAGAGACCTTGCAGCCACAACTGGACGATTTAAAGCAAGAGATATTGCAGGCTGGCAAAAAAGTGGAAGATGTGGAAGAATCGTGTGAAATGGACAGTCGGATTATAATATTGGAGAAAGAAAACGGACAACTTCGTAAGGTGAATAGTGAGTTAATAAAGAAGGTTGATCATCTTGAAAGTTACTCTAGGATGTGTAACATCCGCGTTTATGAGCTGCCGAAAGATGTAGAAAAGGGACAACCCTCCAAATACATGGCTTCTCTCCTGAGCGAGATGTTTAAAAGTAAACTAACTTCGGAACCTGAGGTTGAAGTGGCTCATCGGATTGGATTAGCTGGGAAGACTGGAGACAGAGCCATGATTGTGAGACTACAACGATATAAAATGAAGGAAGAGATCATGGAAATTATGAAGAAGGAATGCATCTTTGAAAATTGCGGGATGAAGCTGCGAATTACTGCAGACCAGACGGAGATGATGGCGAAAAAGAGGGCAATCTTCCGTGATGTGAAAGAGAAATTGTGGAAGGCGAGGGTAAAAAATGGGATCATTCATCCTGCAACATTAATTATAACATTTAAAGAAGAAACCAAGAGGTTCGTAGATCACCTCCAAGCTGAAGATTACTGGAAAAAAGGGATAGAGCCAAGCTTGAGTACTAGAGAATGATATATTAAGACCACAGGATCTAATTTAGGTTAAAATACAGCTGGCGTGGTGAGACACTTCTAATTTAGATATGGTTAAAGGGGGTATGGAGTATGAATGGGTGAATGTGTGTGATGTGATGGGGGTTTTCTTGTGGTTGAACGTCTGTAATGTTATGTGTTGCTCAAATATATATTATTATATGACAATGGCAAAGGTTTGTGTATTGAGAGGGAAAGTATTGAAACTACATAATGACAAATGTTCTTGAATTACCTAATTCCCCTACCGGACCGAGTACCCAGAGGCTGATCAACATCCTCCCTTGACCTCCGGATCTGAACAGAGGGTCGTCTGAACGGTGAGGTAGAACACAGATTGCGTCTGAATGCCTCTTTTAAGAAATAATTTAGCTTAACTGCAAACCAAATTCTTTCACCCAGAACGTGTTTTTCTCTCTCTAAGATAAAACCTTCTGAGACCTACATT